GGTTATTATGAAAAATGTTCTGGAACCAATTCAAATACCAATCAGAAACCACATTGTTCAACTAAATCACTTTCAGATGCCATATAAGATACAAAATACAATTATTTCCAGTTTAAAAATATAATGTTCCTTCAAAAAAAAAACACAGTATTTTATTTTATTATTTTGAAAAAAAATCTGCCTTGGCTGGAATTCAGACCCGTCACAGATGATGTACAGACAGGCTTTATGCTGTTCCCTTTGGATTCGGGGCCTATAGACCTCACTGTAATGTATTTAAAAGTTCCTTAAAATGGATGTGACAGCTGTTTTCTTTGTGTATTACAGAAATATACAGAGTTCAGAGGCTCCATGGCTACACTTTGGGCATGTATGTCATTAAAAGAATGAAAAAAAGATGATGGCCAAATGCCGTATTAAAATCCCATTAGAAACGCTGGGAGGAATTTATGGCCCCAATCTCTTTTATCTGACAGCCATCAGTTTGGTGAAACACTTTTCCTCTTGCCTTTTTCTTCTTTCCTCTCTTTCTTTCCTTCCTCCCTTCCTATTTTATTTCCTTCCAATTTCCTACTTGGCTACAGAACATCTGGGTGTTGTCTTTACCACTGGAGAGGCAAATATTATCAGGTTTCTGTCAATATTTGTTCCTCTTTACTGTGTCCTGCGTCAGATACCTTGAGCGGAGATCATTTCTCCCTTTCCCAGATAGACTTTTCTCTCCGGCTGAGAATTCATTGAATCCACAATTGTTTATTCGAGCCATCATCACTGTGATGAGGAGTAAGGGGGTTAACACACCGTGTGACCTCAGGAGTGATTTCTGGCACAGCAGCTCCCATATGATCCGCCAGACTCTGAGTATGAATTTTAATGCACTCAGAACCCCTTCTCTAGCCTGAGGTCACTGGCTCTCGGAGCAAATCTTCCACAAACTGACATGGAACCTGAAGAATTTGCTGTCAGGAGAGGTATGGATTTTTGCCTCCTGACCTCCAGGGCACGCTGTCACCCTCTGTGGAGCAGGAGGGAAATATTAATCCAGTACCTCGCTGGGTATAGAGTTACTTAGGAATTAACATGGAAATATTCAGCTCAGAAAGAATTGCTGCAAGATCTGACCATAGAAGCAGCAGGATCCTGGAGGGCTTGTTCTGGTCTGGCTTTGCCGCTTACCAGGCCTGTGGTCACGGGCAAGTTGCTTTCTCTCTCTGGCTTCAGTAAAAGGAGGGCTGGCTCTGAAAGTCTCTGATTCTGCGACACCAACCCAATCGAGGCAGAGGGAAAGATAGAAATGTTGCTGTGCGATATTGTAACCGAGAATACACGACAGCTTTCCCCTCAAATGTTTAGTACTGTGTTTCCCCCAAAATAAGACAGGGTCTTATATTTATTTTTCCTCAAGAAGACACCCTAGGGCTTATTTTCAGGGGATGTGTTATTTTTTTTTAAGTACGGTACAACCATCTACATTTATTCAAATATAGTTAAGTCGTCTTCTTCTGGAACATCATCATAACTCTCCAAACCCCAAATTCCATCCTGAATTTCTTGCGACTCTATTTCATTTAGAACCATTGGCCCCCAATCTCTCATGTGGAGCAATAGAGCTCTCATGGGGCAGATGGGAAGGGCTGCTCGTCTTCTTTACTGCTCCGCGACGAAATGCATGGGTTGTGCAGATACGCTGCATAGCCACGACCGTCACTAGGTCTTATTTTCAGGGTAGGGCTTATATTGCGCAAATGCTTAGAAAGCCTGCTAGGGCTTATTTTATGGGTAGGTCTTATTTTTGGGGAAACACAGTAGTTAGAAAAGGATAAATAATCCTATACTTCAGGGAACTCAGAGTGAGTGATAGCACCTCAGTTTACTTATCTGATGCTTTGTTCATCTCTGTCTACAGCCCTAAGAGCCACTTGAGGGAAACGATAGGGCCACTGATTTCTGTATTCTTACCTCTGTGCCTGTTTGTTGAATGTGGGGACAAAGATGACATTCATAACGAGGAAAAGGGAGGAGGACGAGAAATCCAAAAGACAGGTGGGAGACCGGGAGAGCACACTGCCACAGCAATCAAGGCAGGAGACGATCTCAGGAAGAGCGAGTGACCACCACAGGTAGGCCAGAAAATGTCACAGAGGAGCTGAGCAAAGGCCCTTCAGCTTAGGGGTATAAATGTTCTCTCTTGTCACGTCAACTATTTAAAGAAAATATACACAAATAGGGTTTGGTTTTTTTTCATTTTTAAAAATTGGGACACTTTATATACAAATACTTCTCTGTATCTTGCTTTTTTACTTCTCAAATGCTGTGAAATGCCTCCAGGTCAACTAAGAGAGCAGAAAACTCTCACCACAGTCTTTTTTTTAAAAAAATATTTAATTGGTGAATAAAATTTGTATATATTCAAGGTGTTCAACACAATAATTTGATAATTTCATATATATATATATATATATATATATATACACATTGTGTAATCGTTACCACAATCAAGTTAAATAAGCACCCATAGTTACCATTTGAGTGAGTGTGTGTGTGTGTGTGTGTGTGTTTAGTGAGGACTCTTGGCCTGGTGTGGTGGCTCACACTTGTAATCCCAGCGCTTTGGGAGGCTGAGGTGGAAAGATTTCTTGAGGCCACGAGTTTGAGACCAGCCTGAGCAACATATCAAGACCTTATCTCTACAAAAAAAATAGAAAAATTAACCAGGAATAGTGGCACATGCCGGCAGTCCCAGCTACTCTGGAGACTGAGGCAGGAAGATCGCATGAGCCCAGGAGTTTGAGGTTGCTGTGACCTATGATCACGCAACTGCACTCTGAGGGAACAGAGTGGTGAGACCCTGTCAAAATAAATAAATAAATAAAAAACCTTTCGTATCAAATTTCAAGTAAACAATCAGGAAGTTAAAGCACTTTACTTTCCTATGAACTCTAGAAAACAGGAAGGCAGCACTGTTGTTTCAGGTTAAATAAATGGAATATTGAGGTTAATCTCCCAATAAACACTACACAGTAATAGAAGATAAGAGTGAAATTATACTCCTGACCTACGTTTAGTTCCCACTCCCTCCAGAATACATTGTATACATCTTACTAACATGGGATGGACTTGTGAATGGAAAGGGGCAGAATGTTCTAGGAGCTAGTGGAGAGTTCTTAGGAGCCCAGAAGATCAACATACACAACACCACAGGCTTACTTCCTTACAACATCTTTGAATCAAATAAAAGAAAGAATTGGAACTACTTGGTGGTAAAGGATTACTTGGAAAAATAGCATAGGATTAGAATCAGTAGTAGGTGAGAAACGGGACATGTGAACCTTTGATGATCATTATGTTCAAATGACTATCTCAGCAGAACATTTGATATCTATAAAAACAACTGGTTTAAGTAAAAGTATTACAATGGGATTAAGTGCTAACTTCAAATTAAAGACCTGGCTCCAAAACATAGGAAAAAAATGATTTTAGGCAGTACCACTTAGATAATTTGGTGTCAGTTTTGAGGAATAACAAAATACATTCTAAGGGAAAAAAAAACTGGAAATACCTCAAGAGTAAAAAAAAAAAATGAGCTGATAGTATGGATTTCTGTAGGAAAAATTATTCCTGGAAAATTGGATTCCTTTTTTGGAGGATAAACTTATAATATTAGTGAGAAATGGAAGAAGAGTGGATGTTATTTATTCGAGTTTTTATAGACTGTTTGGTTCAGAAGTTGCAAGACTATATTTTTAATTTATTTAGAGAGTAGTTTCAATTGGCATAGATAAAAATATGTTGCAAAGGCTGCTTGTAGATGAACCAAGAAAGGAAGAGGTCAAGGTGTTGCAGTTTGGGGAGCAATATGATTTACATCTCTTTATTATAAATATTTTTATTGTTTCTCTGAAAGGAGAATAAAATGGAACATTAAATTGGCATTTAAATCCTTAGTATTAGAGTGTTAGAAAAACACTAAAAAATAGCAGAATTAAGAGATGAAATTATTTCTCTCCTTTCTCTGTATTCTTTGTAAAATTAAAAGGAGAAAATTTACTTATTTATTCATTCAAACATTTATTTCTCCCCATCACATTGATGCCATAATACATGTAAACAGGAAGATGTATAAAATGGCTATTCTTTATGATTTAAATTTTCTTCATCTTAGTTTATTATCTGTAAAATGGAGATCTTAACAGTAATTCTGAGGGTTATCGTGAGCCTTAAATGTGATGACCTATGTAAAATAGCCCAATGCTTAGCATACAGTAATGATGTTAATAACAAACATTATTTGTTACATACATTTGTTACATACACACATACACACTAAGTATGTGCTAGGTACTCTGTTAAATTTTTTTGTGTATCTATTCATCTGATGCTCACAGCAAATTTATGGTGGATGTAAGTCATCTTAATCCCATTTTATGGATGAAGAAACTATAGTTATAGAGTTTTAGTAGCTTGCTCGAGTCTGAAAGTAGTGTAGCTGAGATTCAGACTGAGACAGTCTGACTCCATTGTTCATACCTGGGAACTATTACGGCCATTACTACAACTACCAGGCTGAGCTGAAATTGCAGCAGTAGGAATTTGAATCTAGACATAAAGGTCTTAACTATGGAGATTATGAAAAAAATGAAATGAAAGTTTGCAAAGTATAAAAATCCTTAGAGATTTTTAAGTATACACCAGATGCCAGCTGGGGTCTTACTATCCTTTGGAGACTTAGGTCAGTTTGGTTTAAAACTCCAATTTGGTACGGATACAAGTTCGGAGCCATTTTTACAATTTCTGTGAATTCTCAGTGACTTTCTTCCTCAAGTTTTCTCTGTCTTGCCTTGGATTTATCCTGCACCATCCAGGTACAAATTCTGCTTTTCCCAAACGTGTTATTCATTTGGTGGTTTTACTGAAGATCTGAGAGGTTATGGGAGAAGTCACATGGCATACAATATTACTAACTTCCTGGCTTTATCTATATTTTTCCTATTTTTACACAGGAGCAAATATGCTTGGCAAACATGCCAATTTCAACCGTGTAGTAAATGGCGGGGCCGGGACTCCAGGCAGGATCCTGTTGGCTGGTAGGTTGATCATGCCAGTGCAGGTGAGGAGACAAATCCCTTCTTCATCCATCTAGCTATTCTTTGTGAGCCCTGAATTTTCTCTCCATTTGCACAAGAAAAATAAAACAGAATCATCAAAGCTAACATAAGCCAATCATCCAAGTAAAGTCTCCTCAAAAGGCTAGGAGGCCAAAAATAGAAGCAGTAAGATTATATTAAAAATTTGCAGTGTTTCCAAAATGTTTATTTATGTGGACAACAGTAATAGGATTCTTTGCCACATGACTTCTAGCTGGACCAGTGGGAAACTCTGGCAGGAGATTGGAAAGAGGGAAGAGAATGAGAGCAGGCTTTTTTATCCATCCCCTTTTAGGACACTAAGTGATCATTAACCTGAAGCCAGAAGTCTAGTCCATTTTAAGGAGGAAATTGGCAGGATAAGAGATCTTTGCAATGCCTTATGCTCCTGGGGATATATAAGCACTTGTCAGTATTGCCAACTAAATAAGCAGAGTCCCTAAATCTTGAAACACATAAAATTTTGTTTTTTGAAAATATTCATGTTGAAAGGAATCTCAGAAACTATCGTTTCTTCTTTACACGAGAATTGTCTCTTTAATAAGCCCTCTTTCCTGCAGGCAGTCTGGATAAAAGCAAAGAGCGTGGGTTTTGGTGCAGGGAGATCTGGGCTCCGATTCAGGGGCTATGTTTACTAATTGAATGAAAGGAAGGCTTACAATAGTCAAATCATTTACTGATCAATGCAATTGATCATTTAACATAATTACTGAGTATCAGGCACTGTGCCTGAGGATGCAGTAGTCAACAACAACAAAGTCCCTGCTCTCATGATGCTTAGGTTTGATTAGGAACAAAACATTCCTTAAGAAGAAAAATCTGCTAAGAAGAAAAATAAAACAGGGTAAGAAGACAAAGAGTTATGGAAGAGGGGCTCTGAGATAAAGCGACATTTGAACAGAGATGTAAGGGAGTGAGCTGTGTGGGAACCTAGGGTAAGAGCATCTTAGGCAGAGAGAACAGCCAGTTCAAAGGCTTTGAAACTGGGATGTGCTTGGTGTATTTCTGGGACAGAGCAGAAGCCAGCATGGTTGGAGCCAATTGAGGCAGAAATGGGTAAAAGATGAGATCAGAGAAGTAACTTTATTTTCCTTTTCTAGCAAATTTGCATAATTTTACTTTTCTTACTGGGTTGTTGTGAGGACTTACAGTTTGAGGACAGTGTTTGTAAAGTGACTAACAGAATGTCTTTCACATAAGAAGTACTGATGGTACCGATGTGGGGTACGGGTCAAAAATTGATTCCATATTCTCCCAGACTTCCTTTCCCGTCCTCACAACAGGCCCAACAAAAATTCTCATTATTTGAAAAGACTAAGAAATATTTTATTTTTAAGTTACAGCCTGATTTCTAATCAAGTGAATTTTCTTGGCTCTGTTAGAGGTGACTTTATTTAGCTCCAAATTAGTTTCCAGCCTTTCTTATTTGTTCCACTTTGATTTGTGTGGCCATACATCCTTTCTCTAACCTTCCATTATTTCTCTGGATCCACGTCTTGGCTAGGGCAGTCCCACTCATGAGAACATAAAGAACTCTTACAGATTTTTAAGGAAGTTGTTCACTTATAGAAAGTAATAAAAGTATTAATTTCCTTTTCAGATTATTTAAATGGTTCATAAAACAGCCTCATTTACTGAGCTTACATTTCCTTGTGTCCCAAATAACCAAGAGAGGGTGCGTGGTCTAGGGCACTAAAGCATGTATGCACACTGGTGGTCTGAAAGGTTTAATGTCTCTTCCTGGAGTGATTAATTTAAAGCAGGGCAAGACTGGCTCAACATTATTATTTCATCTTAAGTGCATCTGGAAATCCAGAGAGTGAGCCATTGTTTAACTCTGTTGAAGAAAAAGAAATGTATGTTCATAATTCTTACCCATTACTAGAGCAATTCTATAATTGCTCCTCACATTCAGGAAGCAAAACTCATGCTATCACCTTGAACAGGAGTGGCAGAATCATTTCTGTCTATTGAGACTTAGGGAGCAGAGTAAATAGGGTTTAGTGAGGCTTCTGCAGTTTTAGGAATTAAGCAAAACACTGAAGATTTATTTAGAAAGAGAAAATAAATTCCAAGAAATAACTTTAAAAAGTTGATCAATACTATAAACATCAAAATAATCAAGAGTAATAACATAATATTTTAAATAAATTACTGCCTCACTTATCCCTATGCTTTCTTCCCACATTTTTTTTTTTTAGATAGAGTCTCTCTTTGTTGTCCAGGCTGGAGTACAGTGGCATGCATGATCATAGCTCACTGCAGCCTTGGACTTCTGGGTTCATGCCATCCTTCTGCCTCAGCCACCTGAGTAGCTGGGACTACAGGCGTGCACCGCCATACCTAGCTAATATTTTAATTTTTTGTAGAGATGAGGGTCTCACTGTGTTGCCCAGGAGTCTCACTGTGTTGCCTTGAAATTCTGGCCTGGAACAATCCTCCCACCGTGGCATCCCAAAGTGCCGGGATTACAGGCTTGAGTATGCTCCCGGCCCTTCCTACATTTTTGACTGCATACACTTTGATGGCCTTTTCATAGTACAAACATTTTATAATATTTTCTACAGCAGTAGTAGAGAGATACCTGTCTTTAGCATAGTAGATTGAAATTTATTTTTTATTACTCATAGTTCAGGTGACTACAACTGTGGCTTATTACACAGACATAGTTCCCACTTTTAGTACTACTTCCAGTCTGTGCTCTACAAACACAGGAATTGTGATAATTCTAGTATTCTATTTCCCACAATTCCCATCAACTGGGAAAAAATTAACTGTACATGCTACATTTTATTCCTGTCAAGAGAGAACATACATCTTGTCTAGACATCTATGAAAACCAAATCATTGATAAGAAACTAAAAGTTTATGGAACTGATGACTGGAAGAATTGCTTTCAGACTGGCTCTGGCTTTATATATTTCATACTTCCTTTCTCCTCCATTCACCACATCCTCCAAGCACCACAGCCATACCACACCACACCACACCACACCACACCACAGCATTCACGCTGCAGTATGACCTCCAGCCTTGCACCCTCGTGTAATGAACTGGGAAGAAAGCATAGGTCAGAGTGGGAGTCTCCCCGATGCTATTTCTATACCAACACGGCCGGCAAGGATGTCGTACACACAGAGCCGCCTGCAGACCGCATCATGGTAGCCACTAAATCCAAACTAAACCTCTTCCCCTTGACAAGATCCCCAAATGCTCATTGCTTCTTCACCTCTGACCACCCCCCCACCAACAGGAAGAAAAGTATATATGGGAAGGAAAATTAGAATGGAGAGAGACAGTGGTCTTAACTGATTGTGGTTAAAATATCTTACTTTTGCAAATTTTATAAAAACCTATGACTGTGGCCTCCTAGGGCCATGGGTGGAGGACATGTAGCTGAACAGCCACCTAGAAGCTTAAGTGCCATCAACTTCACTGTGACTCTTCCTCTGGGGTGGAATATAATAAAAGAATGTTGTTCCCCCACTGTATCTTTGTAAGAACACTAGAGAAGGACTATTCTACTAAAAGCTAGTTCTTCACCGAAATCTAGTTGGTAATATCTCCAGTTAGCTAATGAAATCACGTGTTATCTGTAACTTTGTTCCAGTGGTTTATTCAGAAAACCCAATAGCTCGCACTTCCAATGTGAGTTTTAGGGGGTGTTGAATGTCCGAGTTAAAGCAATAATAGAAAAGCATAAAATTAACTTGCTTGTCTATCCGACTCATGAGAGGATTCCTTTCCATACAGATTATATAATATGCTCTCATGGTTTTAATTTTGATTTTTTTTCCACTTTTCCCCAGGTTTCATTTTTTTTCTTTCCCTTCACTGTTTACTGTTCCCATCTCAAGTGTTAGATTTTCTTAGCAATGGTTTAGGTTCAAAAGCACATGTTGAAAGAATGAGTTTGTCGTTTTTTTGTCATTGGGAGAGCAAAACCTGGGAAAGGGAAAAGTGAATCAGGTAGATTAGGGTACCTGCTTTGGGGCCCTCTGTGCTTTGAAGAATCCTTCACTGCAGGGATTAAAGTGGGTGCAGGGGAAAAAAGTACCTGCCAACACACACACAGACACATACACACATGCATGCACACACACACACACACACATACACACACGCATGCACACACACACACACACACCCTGGATAAGGTCTTTGTATTGTCATAGCTAGGTCTGAGTCCCTTCCTTCCTTGAGTACCCTTTTGAAGACATTCTATATTATTTTCCCCATTCAAGTCCGTCTGTGATGTATATTCTAACTTGATTTCATTTAGATAGGACATTAGTACCCTGCTGCTAAGTGTAGCGTTTTGTTGGCTGTTGGCATTGGTTGAACATATGGGAAGCACAAGGCTAATCCACTCACTTGGAAGTAGTGGAAGCTCTTCTTGACATAAGTGTAACCTGTGGAATCCATTGATATTTTGTTGCTGTTTTAGAAATTTAGCTCTACTTAGGCCAGAAATGAAATAGGCCACTTATTATTATTTTTTTTTTTCAATGAGCACTTCCAAGTGAAAGAAGGATAGGACACGTTTTCTGTGAGAACAAAAAATGCCACACAGTGCTTACCCACCTGCCTTATTTCTGTTAGGAATATAAGCTTCACAAGGCAGAGAGTATTTTCCTTATCAGGTTTCTTCATTGCTCTCATGCTCCTTAAAATAATATTGATAGACTATGTGGCTGTTTCCACATTTTTAAGTTAATCCTAAATTTGTATAGTTTCAAAGGATATAATTTCTTGTATATTTAAATTGAAATTTTAAATAAAACTGTCACCTCACTTTTAAACATATCTATATCAGTATTATATCCACTATCATCTATTTTTAAAGGCATATAGATCTCTCCTTTAACAATTTTACATTTTTCATCATTCTTTTTTCTCTTTGAAATTGTATTTTCATTCCACTTCCTCTTTAAAATTTTATACCAAAGTAAAATATTTTCCAATTTGAATATCTGTTATTGATTACCCTTAATACATGTATGCAGCAAAATTTTAAAATTTCCATTTTTTTGCATAATCTCTGTAGTCAAGAACTTCATGTCTAAATTTAAAATCCCTTTACTAACAATTTTAGCTCAGTCTAGTAGTTGCGATAAAAATTTCCTGTAGCCCTAAAGTTTGAAGAGCCACAGTTCTCTTCTGTATTATTATTTGTTATTTTTTAAGTTTATAGTTATTTTCAAATACAAGTGATCTAAAATTATTTACATACATAAATTATAATTTTCATAATTATTAAATATAAAAAATAAAATTGTATTGGGGATGCATGTCCTAGTTTGATAGGTGGTGAGTGTTTATGGTGATTTGGTTAAATGAAGTGATGTAAATATTTTAAATTGTATTTAAATTTTGAATTTGATATCTTAAAGATTGCTACCTCTCAGGACAATGCATGGCCACAACAGGGATGAGGACAGAGTGTGTCTTTCTTTCATCAAGTGGAAGACTATATACAGAGAGAAATAGGAAGGAGAGGGCTATGAACAGTTCATGGAAGACACTTAGGCATTTGGGCAGATACTTTTAGGAAAGAGTGGATGTGGCAGCTAAGTATCTGGAAACTGATTCCCTAGAAATGGTTTGCGTTTGCTTATCTTCTGAGAGGTTTTGTTTGTGTCCTCCCAAGTGTAAGTATGCCTGATTGAAAACGCTGCTCAATATGTAATAGTTCTTAACATCATCTACAAATATTTTACCGCACAGGGGTAAGAAATAAGAGTGCAGCAAGAAGTAAGAGTGAGAGTGATTACAGAGACCTTTTTGGGACCTTAGTAGTGAATGGGAACACTGTGGGAGGGGCTCTTTTTGGAGATGTTTAAATCATCAGGAATACTGATCCAATTATATTTTGACTACAATGTAAACTTCATTTGATTACTGTTGCCAAATATTCTTTGTTCATTGAAAAGTACATGCCTTTTAAAAAATGTTAATTGGGAAATGATAATTGCATATATGTAAGGAATACAATGTAATGCTTTGATATATTTAAATTGTGAAATAATTAAATTAATCTATTTAAATTTAGTGGAGATAACTGAAGCTATTAATCTTAGCCCCTGGTGGCTTCTAATTTATGCTTACGCAGGAGGTCCTACTCATTATTAAATGTCACAGACTCTTACTTACAACCAAGAAAAGAAAATATGGAATCAATTTGTGATTTACTTCAAAAGCCCTAAATATATGTGTGATCTCCTAGCTGGGTTTTAGATAAACTTGGAAATGTCTTTGTCCTTCAGTGAGGCAGCAAGTGTTTCCTAATCAAAGCTGGTGAAGTCAGAATCTGGTCCACGGCTCAGGAGTGCTTGAGGGGAAAGGCAAGGGAGGAGGAAACAAAGGAGAAAAAATGGAGGGGAAAGAAAAAAAGAAGGGGAAGAGGAAAAGAGAAATGTGGCTGTTTTATCCCCCAAAGCTCTGAGGCTTGAGGATGTAGTAGTGTAGGATCTTGGGTGCGGGAAGGAAGATGGGCTGGATTATGAATCTGGGAGGCCATGGACAATGACATTAGGACAAATGTAGTTGTTTGTGTTATCCACAGTGAGGATGTAACAACTATCCTAAATTTCCTGTGTACCCAAAGACGCATAAAAAAAGTTTACAATATTTGCACAATTTAGATGTTAAGATGAAATAATTCTCTTATTTCAGAGAAAAAGAAAATAATATTGAGGGTCCTAAAAAAAAAAAAAGAAAAAGAAATGTCGAGGGAAAGAAAGAGCTGTGCATGATTGGTTAGGATGGGAGATACTGCAACTCCTTGGTCTTTGTGCTAGTGCCATTGCTACCTAGTTCTGTTTAGGGAACTTTCCAAAACACAGAGCAGCTTTGTGGGTCTGGCTCTCAGAACTTATGCAACCAATTGTTTTGCGAGCAGGATGGAATTTCACAAGAGAACTGAGTTCTCAAGAGATTGACAGTTTGACCAAAAGATCAAAGGGTTTGGTACAGTGGGGCTAATTTTTAGAAAGCCTTCCAAATTGTGAAGATTTGTCCTCCTTGTTATGGCAGTTAAGACATGTGAAAATAGTAATTTGAGGCATTTATAAGCAGCTTTCTTCTTAGTTCACAATGTTCCACCAATGTCAGTGCCGTCCAGACCCATGAAAACAAAGTAGGCAACCAGGATGATTTCCCCAAGTCACTGATAAAAGGAGAGAGAAGTACAGAGATACCCAGTGATTTGTTTGGATTGCCAAAAGGTTGCGTGGTTGGTTTGACAACTGTTCTTGTCTTCAGGTTGACAAATTACATGCTGTATGTGTGGGTGGGGAGGGAGGAGGAATTGAATAAAAAAGAGTGAGATGAGCAACAGTTAGGTAGAGCAGCATATGAAATCTTAACAGTTCTTTGAGATTCTGAGTGCTCCAGATATATTTGTCAAACCAATAAGAAGATCCCAAAGCCATACAATGAGATCTATATTAGGGAAGACTGATAAGCAAAGGTTAATATAGTGTGTTGCATGATAATTAACAGCAACATTCTTTTTTTGTTTGTTTAATTAACAGGAGACAGCATAGATAATCCAAATACTGATTAGCAATCTTTAATAACCAGAAACTGCTTAATATTAGTATTTATTTAGAAGTTGAAGTCTGGAAGCAGAATCCCTTTTCCCCTAACACTTTATAAATCTTTGTTTTGCAGCAGGAACTAACTCAGAATAGGGAACCCATAGAAACCTTTCACTTGCACCAAAGCTTTCTGGTTTATTGTTACTGCAGTGTGGATGAGGCTTCGCAACCATAGCTGGGACTTATTAGGTCAGGAACTCAAGAAGTTGGCATGTGTTTTTATTATGGTTAAACTTATCTGGATTTAAATGGCATTAGATATCTTTTGATGTCTTCCCTTTCCTTCATCTGTACAAGAACGTTTTAATTGGATATGGTAACTGACAATGTTCACTCTGCACTGATCACCTGTGGAGATCTGTTTTGACCCTCTAGGGATTCCTAAAAGCAGATCTTTTCTTTAAAAATCCTTAAAGCAGGATCTATAAGCCTGTAAAGATCCACGAGCCCAAGATTTCCTGCTTGGAGTACTTTGGGCTTCAGTCATCCAGTTTAGCTCTCTCCATTGTTCAATTACCTGGATAAGAGATAGGCCCTGTTTTCCTTTTGTACTTTGTGGATAAAGTCATCTTTACCCAAATTTATGAAAATTGAAATTCAAATTATTTACACAGAAATATTCTGGGTACCATATGTCTCCTTTCCACTGTAATTTAAGAAGCTTAACCTTGATTCACAAAGCAGGTTCTGAGGAATGCTGACCAATCACAGTGGGAGGATTTGGATAATAAAAGAGCAGAGCAGGACAGGGCCAGGTAACAGCCCTCATCTAAATCTCACTCTAAGGGGTGCCAGCCCTGTCGTCAACTCCCACTGCAATTAGGTTAAAATACTTTCTCCAGAAAGAGTGAGCATTCAGACATAGAAAATGTACAATGGAGGCTTCCAAAAGTGACATGTTTCTCGTCACTTACTCCGTTGTCGATCCAATTAGGAACACACCAATTAACCCCAGAACATAGTTTCTGGAAGAACCTCACTTCTATTATCTTAACTAATTTCATAACCTCAGAGAAAAAGGGAGAAGCTTATATATAACTCATGGCAAATTATGCAAAGCTAAACCTCTGACAGGTTGTATCTATCAAAAGATATGAGACTGACTTCTTTTTTTTTCCTGGAAGCAAGGGGGAGCTCTGAATTCCGAGGCTATTTGAATGAAATGACTTTCAGTGCTGCCTTTTAGATACAGTCCATTCAAAGAAAAGAAAATGATAAATATCTGACTAAATTTTGTTACTGTGTTAAGGCATTTATTGTAAAAGAATTTAAGAAGAAAATATTGGCGACAGTTCACCAAAAAACATGGATATGAATGTGATAAAACAACATGGTGTTTCAAACCCAAGACAACATGGAATAAATAAGAAAACAAAATTCCCCAAAGGTAGGTTGTATCACAATACTTATCTATCTTGAAACCATCCATCTCTGCCCCATTTCTGTCAGCGCTGCTCTGGCTAAGTCACCTCACTGGAATCTCTGCTTCTACTCTTGCACCCCGCCAACCCACTCTCTACACAGCTGCTGAAGTGATTTAAAAAAAAATTGGATCACATTACCTCTGCTTATTTAAAATTCATCAAAATTCCCATTGCAGTTTGAATAAAACACAGATTCCTCTCAGATCCTGTCTCTTTCCATGTCTCTCTCAATCATTATTCTTCAGCATTGTTGACCTTTTGGATTAGACTTTACCACGTTATCTTGTTATATTTTCTTTATAATACTCTCATTTTTTGAAATTATCTTTGTTTATAGGCTTAATGCCTTTCTTCTCCACTAGAATGGAAACTCAAAGATCAGGAAACTTGTCTGTATTGTTCACAGTTGTACTGCTAGAATTTTGAACAATACCTAACATATAATAAGTGCTCAACAAATAAATGTGGAAGAAATGAATGTTTAGCTCTCCTGGATGTCTTTGCAGATTGAGCAAGAATATTTTGATGTCTCTCATGAGAATTAATTGCTTATAGTATTCTCTGGAGTTACTGTTCTTGGGTTAGAGTTGTGGAATTCCTTTATAAGTGAAACAAAATTATAATAAAAACTTTTGTTTTTAAACCCTTTTGGGTAGAGTCTCACAGAATCTCATTTTAGAGGAAGGTAGGGTTAGGTAATTGGTAAATAGGGAATGAAATCAGTATTTGAATGCTTATTATATTTGAAGCGCTGTGACGGGCATTTGTTGTATGTAAAGACAACATAAAATCTTCTAAATCAAGATTTCATATGACTTAAACTTTTGTCGGGCAGGCTTGTGATTAAGACAGTATAAAGTCAGGGGTAGCTAGATAGGAATCAGGATGGCCAAGGGACAGACGGTAAGATTATGGGCAATATGATGTTGTACAGTATTGTAGAAAGAATGAGAGCTTCAAATCAAGTCTGAGTTCAAATCCCAAATTGCCACTTACTAGCTGTGCTACCTTGGGTAAGGTACTTAAAACTTTAATGAAGCTCACTTGCTTATTTATTTTTTAAAGATATTGTTATCTCTACATTATTTATTTTTCCATATTTTTCTTATTTTCCTAGATTTAGGAGGTACAAGTGCAATTTTGTTACATGGATATAGTGTGTAGTGGTGAAATCTGGGCTTTTGTTGTAACCGTCACCTGAATAGTATACATTTTGCTCATTAAGTAATTTTTCATTCCTTACAACCTCCCATCTTCCCATCCTTCCAAATCTCCACTGTCTAATATTCCACTCTCTATGTTTATGTGTACACATTATTTGGCTCCTCCTTGTAAGTGAAAACATATGATATTTCACTTTCTGAGTTATTTTGCTGAAGATAATGGCCTATAATCCTATCCATGTTGCTGCAAAAGACATGACTTCACTCTTTTTTATGGCTGAGTAGTATTCCATAACTTTCTTCATCCAGTCATCTGTTGATGAACACTTAGGTTGATTCCATGTCTTTACTATTGTGAATAGTGCTGCAATAAACATACAAGTGCAGGTATCTTTTTTGATATAACGTTTCTTTTCCTTTGGGTAGATACCCAGTGGGGGGATTGCTGAATCAAATGGTAGATGTACTTTTAGTTGTTTGAGAAATCTCCATACTGTTTTCTATAGAGGTTGTACTAACTTACATTCCTATCAACAGTGTATTAGTGTTCCCTTTTCTCCACATCCTCACCAACATCTGTTGTCTTTTTACATTTTAATAATAGCCATTCTGACTTATATAAGATGGTATCTCATAGTGGTTTTAATTTGCATTTCTCCAATGATAAGTAATGTTGGTCATTTTTTCATATGCTTTTTGGCCATTTGTGTGTCTTCTTTCGAAAATATTCATGTCCTTTGCCTACTTTCTCATGGAGTTATTTGGGGTTTTGTTGTTATCGAGTCCCTTGTAGATTCTGGATATTAGCTCCTTATTAGATGTATAGTTTGCAAATATTTTCTCCCATTCTGTATGTTGTCTGTTTTTACTCTGTTATTTATTTCTTTTGTTATTTGTTTCTTTTCATAGTAGGCTGAGGGCCTACTATGCCCCAGACTCTGTTCCAGGTGCCAGGTATGCAACAGTGAGCAAGACAGACAGGATCCCTTCTGTTATAGCACCTGTGTTATAGTCAGGGAGACATACAGTAACCAAGTAACAATGACGCACAGTGATTTTCGATCATGATAAGTAAAGAAAATAGAACTCGATAATGTGATGTGAAAGGGGACACACACGTGGCCAAAGAAGCCCTCTGCGAAGAGGTGATATTAGAGCTGAGATTTGGGTAATGAAAAGGAGCCAACCACATGAGGATGAGAGAAAGGGAGTGTGCCTTGGGAATGAGCTAAGGAAGTTTAAAGGAAAGCAAGAAAGCCATGTCCTGGAGCTGGCTGTGCAGGTGAAAGAGCATTGGGAGGTCAGGTTGGTTAGATGAGCAGGGGCTGAAACTCCTAGAACTTTGTCATCCAAGGCAAGGAGCAGATCTGGCTACCACGACATGGGCACTGCTCTGTCAGCAGCAGCTGGACGTGGAACAGGTGTCTGCAGTGGCCCAGGCAGATAGGTCTGAGGGCGGCTCTGAAGGGTAGCTGAAGTTTTTGCTTTTCTGGTATAAGGACAGACATCTATAGTATGCCCTATTACCACTTTTCTCCTGACATGAAGTAAAAACAATGTTTTGTGATAAGGAGCCGTATTGGAACCTTGAGAAAAACCTTACAATTTTTGAGCTACTGAAGCAATGCTAGAAACCACCTACTTGCAGACATTCCATATTTACTTAGGCTACTATGAGGTTACCTGCTAATGAAAGCGATCTCACCTGATGTAGCAGTGTAGGTGATGTGTGTATGTGTGTGCAGGTGAGTATATGCATATATGTATGTGTGTGTACAGATGCACATAGGCAAGTAGTGCATTTAAATATGATGGCAGTAAGATATAAATTACTTGCCCCTGAAATTAGCTGGTTCAACATCTCCTGGATATCTATCAACTGAAAGCAGGGCTGGATTGCCAATTTATTTAAGGTCACACTTTAAACATGGTATAGGTTAAGGGTTGGGATTTTTAATTCCATCAATTAAATCTGATGCTTAGGACACCAGTCCCTCCAAAACCCTAGCTATATTTTATTGTGGAAAAGAATAGCATGTGTACTTTTCAAAAGCCAAATTTAAAAAGAAATCTGTTTTTCATTTTTAATATTAATTTAGTTTTATTTCCTTTTATAAAAAATATATTTTGTGTATATTTTTTGATATTTGAATAAAAAACAAACAGAATGTATAAAAAGCTACATTTAAAAAGAACTTATTTTGTATTTTAAAAATTTAAAGTGTATATGATAAAAATGGCCTAAAATAAAACTGACGTTTCAATTAAAAATGTTTTATTATTTTATGTACTACACAAAATATATTATGTTATATGAAATATAGTCATAGAGGCTAGAATTTTTAAATAATACTATTAAACTAAATAGTTTTAAAAAATTTGTATGGAACCACAAAAACACTCTGAATAGCCAAAGCAATCTTAAGCAAAAAGAACATAGCTGGAAGCATCACACTCCCTGACTTCAAACTATGCTACAAAGCCACAGTAACCAAAACAGCATGGTATTGGCATAAAAATAGACACATAGACCAATTTAATAGAATAAATAGCCCAGAAATAAATCCATGCATTTACAGCCAATGGATTTTTGATGAAGGTGTCAAGAACACACCATGGGGGAAGGACAGTCTCTTCAAATAATGGTGTTGTGAAAACTGGATATCCACATGCAGAAGAATGGATTTAGATTCTCATCTCATACCATATACAAAAACTCAAAATGGATTAAAAACTTAAAAGTAAGATTTTGAACTATCAAACTACTAAAAGAAAAGAGAGGAAAAGCTCCATGACATTGGTCTGGTCAATGATGTTTTGGATATGACTTCCAAAAGCACAAGCAACAAAAACAAAAATTTTAAAATGGGATTATATCAAGCTGAAAAGCTTCTGCACAACAAAGGAAGCAAGCAATGGAGTGAAGAGGTAGAATTGGAGAAAATATTGGCAAACTATACATCTGAAAAGAGGTTAATGCAAAAAATATAAAAGGAACAAAAACAACTCAATAGCAAGAAAACAAATAACCTGATTAACAAATGGGCAAAAAATATAAATAGACATTTCTCAAAAGAAGACATACAAGTGGCCAAGAGGTATATGAGAAATGCTCAATATCACTAATCACCAGGAAAATACAAATCAAAACCACGGTGAGACATCACCTCACACCTTTTAGAATGGCTACTATAAAAAAACCAATAATATTTTATATAGTTACAAATAGCTAGAAGGAAGATACTGAATGCTCCTAACACAAAGAAATGCTAAATGTTTGAGATAATGGATCTACTAATTACCATGATCTATCACTATACATATGTATTGAAACTTCACTGTGTACCCCATAAATATGTATGATTTGTAGGTGTTAATTAAAAATAAAATATATAAACTTAGTCACATAGATAATGTTCTCTGATCACAATGCTATTAAATTAGAAACCAACAATAAAAGATAATCAAAAATGATCCAAAAGAAGACAAGATTAACAAGTATTGCTGAGAATGTGAAGAGAACCCTTCCACACTGTTGGTGAGAATGTACATTAATATGGCCATTGTGGAAAACAGTATAGAGTTTCCTCAAAAACTTAAAAGTAGAACTACCATATGAGCCAACAATTTCACAACTGAGTACATATTCAAAGGAAATGAAATCAGTATGTAAAGAGATATCTGCATTCCCATGCTTATTGCAGCATTATTCATAATAGCCAAGATATGGAATCAACCTAAATGTCCATCAATGGATAAATGGATAAAGAAAATGTGGTATATATACACAATGAACACCATTCAGCCAATTCTGTAACTTGCAACAACATGGTAGGACCTAGTGGACAGTGATGCAAACCAGACACAGAAAGACAAACACTGCCTGATCTCACTCATACGTAGAATCTAAAAAGGTTAATTTCATAGAAGTAGAGAGTAGAATGGTGGTTAAACCAGGGTTTGGGGTGGTTGGGGGAGGTGGGGGTTTGGAGAGATGTTGGTCAAAGGATGTAAAATTTCAGTTAGGAGGAATAAGTTCAAGAGATCTACTGGACAATATGGTGACTAAATAGTTAACAATATATTGTTTTCTTGAAAAATGCTAAGAGAGTAGATGTAAAGTGTTGTCACCACCAGTGATAAGTATGTGAGGTAATGTGTATGATAATTAGCTAAACTGAGTCATTGCGCAATGTATATATACTTCAAAAATTATGTTGTACATGATAAATATAGTCATATGCTGCAGAGCAATGCTTCAGTCAGTGATGGACTTCATATATAACGGTGGTCCCATTAGATTATAATATTGTATTTTTACTGTTCCTTTTCTATGTTTATATACACCAATACTCACCATTGTGTTATAATTGCCTACAGTATTCAGCACAGTAACATGCTGTACATGTTTGTAGCCTCAGCGTAATAGGCTATACCATATAGTCTACATGTGTAGTAGGTGTACCACCCAGGTTTGTGTAAATACTCTATGATGTTTGTGCAATCACAAAGTCACCTAACAAATAATCCATTTCTCAGACCTGTTATTAAGTGTTGCATGAAAATAAAATCTTACCTGTTATAAAATTTTTCTGTCAATTTAAATAAAATAAAACTAAATAGCTTTAGGTAGTTAACTGCCAATTTGCATAATAATAAATAACATTTACTTGGTGTTGTTAGGTACCAGATAGTGTTCTAAAATCTTTATTTTATTTTATTTTTTTTGAGACAGAGTCTCACTCTTTTGGCTAGGCTAGAATGCCGTGGTGTCAGCCTAGCTCATAGCAAACTCAAACTCCTGGTCTCAAGTGATCCTCCTGCCTCAGCCTCCTGAGTAGCTGGGACTACAGGCATGCACCACCATGCTTGGTTATTTATATTATATATAACATTTTAGTTGCCTGGCTAATTTCTTTCTACTTTTTTAGTAGAGACAGGGTCTTACTGTTTCTGAGGCTGGTCTCAAACTCTTGATCTCAAATGATTTTCCTGCCTCTGCCTCCCAGAGTGCTAAGATTACAGGCATGAGCCATCATGCCTGGTCCTAAAATTTTTATCTATATTAAGACTTTTAGTCTTATTAACTCTATGGGTTTGGTGCTATTGTTACTGTAATTCTCATTTTATGACTGTGGAAACTGATTTTCAGAGATGTTGAATAATGTGCTTTAGTAACTGCTCTCTTATGTACTGTGCTCTGTCACCTCTAAGTTATATCACTCATTATATTTCACGTGATCGTAGTTATATGTGTTGAGTTATATTTCTTAACACATTTGCTATTTTACTTTTATCTGGGTATTTGAAAATATCGTACCATTTATTATCCCATATATTTGAAGTAAATGAGTTTATCACCCACCCTTACCCTACTGTTCCCAGTAAGGTAACAAATTAAGAGGTGGATCACTAGTATCACTGTGTACTCCAGTAACAATTAGAACAAAATCCTTCCTGAAGAGAGTCCTAAACCAAAATACTCAACTGCCTTGAGGATATAGCATCAGTTGCCCTTTAGGGACAGGTTAGGAACCTAGCTACATTCAGCCTACAAAATGCCAGCTCAAATTTTGCCTTTTTGTATCTATTTCATGGCTTGGATTTCAAACGTGTTTATAGCTTACTCCAGCTCCTGAGGGAACCACACACATGTTTTCTTTCTGCCATTGTGACTTAGCAAATGTGAACAAAGGTGAGGAGTCCTGGCCTCCATTTTGTAAGTGGACCCAAAGTTTCATCAAAGGAGTGAGAGTATCCGTTCAGTTGTCTGTGCCATGGATTAGGCCAACCATGAAGTGAAGAAAAAGGATAAGAGAGAGCAAAGCAAAAGTTAGAAGTATTTAATGGAAGAGAGCAGAGAAGTGTGAGCATTGGATGTGGAAATCTCTGCAGGCACTGCAGAGAAGTGTGAGCATTGAATGTGGAAATCTCTGCAGGCAATGCAGAGAAAAGCAGGAGAGTCAAGGAGCGTGGGTCTGGTGGGTGGAGCAGGTATCTGAAAAATGTTGGAAATAAAAAGTGTGCCTCACTCTGTCTCTGACTGGCGGAAACTACAGTTTTAAAGGAAGCTGCTCAGAGCTGCCTCTTTGCTTGGATGCTCCTGAGGCATCAGGGAAATAAATAATTAAGCCTAGTCCTGGCCACATCCTTTGTTCTTCTGGCATTTGTACACTCTCTCGCTTTTCCAAACCTTTCATATTATTCCTTAAATTAATCACTCATTTTTCTCATTGTAGCATCCTGTCCCTGCCCCTGTAGCTCTCGCCCTTGGCAACAGCTCGCCATTAAGCCTTCATCCTGGACCAGAGCAGACCCAGCAAGCCACTTTCCCAGTTACAGGGAAACCACAAGAAAGTTCCTAAAGTAGCGGTCCCAGCTTGCTCCCCACAATTATGTTCTTTTTCTCTCCCTCTCACTTTCAAGTTTTCCTTTTCCTTTTGTATATAGAACTTAGTTAGTAGGAAGATCAGATTCCTGGAGGTAACTTTGGGGAAAGCTTTTTAAAAGAGTTGCTGTGAAATCTCTGTAGCCATTATATAACTTGACTACTGCCCCTTCTTCTTCCTTTTACTTTTCATGTCCCACAAATTCTTGCCCTTTCCCTCCACTCTACTGAGTGTGGCCCCACAGAAGTTTCCAGTAACCTCTCAATTCATGACTCAAATGGAGGGTGTTTCTTCCTTTTGTTAAATAAATAATCTTTGGCCACATCTTTCTTCCACCCCCAAATCCTTGTTCCTCTCTGATTGCTCCTTCTCGTTTCTTTTTCCACTGGACCCTCTCCCTCTTTCTTACACCCTCTCCCTCTGTCTCATTCTTACACTGCAGCATCCCTGGGGTTCTGGTTCTGTGTTCTCCTTCCCTTTCTTCTCCTCCCCTTTTATTATGGGCTGAATTGTGTTTTCCCAAAAAGGTATGTTGAAGGCTTAATCCCTGGCACCTTAAAATGTGACCTTATTTGGGTCATTGCAGCTGTAATTACCTAAGTTAACATGAGGTCATGTTGTAGTAGGGTGAGCCCTAAGTTCAATATGGCTGGTGACCTTAAAGGACAAGGGAAATGTAGACCTAGGCAAATACAGAGGGAAGGTGGCCATGTGAAGACAGAGGCAGAGATTGGAGTTATGCAGCCACAAGCCAAGGGATGCCTGGGGCTCCCAGAAGCTGGAAGAGGCAAGAAAGTTTCCTCTTCTAGAGGCTTTGGAGGGATCATGGCCCTACCAACATCTGATTTTGGACTTATAGCCTCCAGAACTGTGAGACAGCATATTTCTGTTGTTTTAGCCCCAGTTTGTGGTGGTGTTTTGGCAGCCTTAGGAAACTAACACTCCTCTCCCACTCCTCTCCTCTGCCCCTCCTTTTCTCCCCACCCCCTCCTCCCTTTGATTTCCTTTCCTTTCCCTTCTCTTCCTTCTTTTCTCTTTTCTTCTATTTTCCCTGGATAAACATAACATCTACTACCATGACTTCCATTACCACAGATGTCCTGACAAGTCTCAAATCTCCTGAACTCCAAAACCAAATTTTCTATTTCCCATTTATCTTCTTCATCTGGGTATCCTGCAGGCATATGAAATGCAACACACCCAAAACAGGACTTGAACTTGCTCTTCTATCCATGTTCTGTGGCAGAATGTATTTTCCTATAACGACTGACATAATATATCTCATCCTTTTTGCATTGAGTCATTGCCAACTAGGGGTCTGTGTCCCTTCCACGGATCTGGTAGACCTTTGTGACTACTCTAACTAGTAAGCTGACCAGAGTCAGAAGTGACTTTATGTAACTTCCAAGCCTAGGTCATAAAATTTCCATTCACTTCCACTCAGTTCTCTTGACACACTTGCTATTGGAATCCAGCCATCATGTGGTGAGCATGCCTAGGACACATGGAGAAGTCACACGTAGGTGCTCTGGGAAACAGCTCTAGGTGAGGCCAAGTTGACAGCCAGTATGAACCTCCGGGCACATGAAGGAGGAAGCCTTGTGATGACTCTACCTTCAGCCACTATCTGACTGAGATGACTCCAGCTTCAGTTCAAGCAAGACCCAAGCTCAGTCGGCATCCAAAATCATAAGAGATGATAATAAAATGACTGTGTTAGTTTACCCACTAGGTTTTGGGGTAAATCATTATGCAGGAATAAATTACTGGAGCTATTCTCTATTTTGGTTAATTAAACAGCAGTTGCCAAGTCACATATGTTTGTATTCTCAGTCATTTGTGAATCTTCCTTCTTACTCTACAAATTTAATCAAAACACATGTTTATGAAGCTAAACACTGCAATGACCACTTCATATTTATCATTACACTTAACTCTCAAAAGAATACTGGAAAGTAGGTTTTAGTGTTTAGTGCACTGGTACTCAGAGTTCAAATAACTTGCTCAAGTTTGCAGTTGGTAAATGGCATTGCTAGATTTGGATCTGAGTCTGTTTGATTCTAAAGTTCATTTTCTTTCCATAGTAGGCCATAATTTTTTTTTTCTATTTTGTATCAGTGATTAGTAACTACTGTATTGTCACTATTTCCAGATCATCCAAGTGTCCATCTGCAGGTGGCCCTACTGATCCTGATAGCCTTTCCCCTTAGCTTCCCAAATTGTAGTCCCCCGGGTGTCTAGTGAGCGAGCAGTATCTTATTTCTCTTCCACCCTGTTATTTTGAGCAATTCAGAAGGTGACATTTCATGAAGCTGAACAGAGGGAAGTTCAATTAGTCAAATGGACATGGATTTGGGAAGTTCTAATCAGAGACAGTTCTGTGCTCAAATAGAGCATGTAGGGGGAAAGTAAGTAAGGGCTGCGGGTGTGGCTGCGGCGTGTGCGGGTCTTTGTGTCTGCGTGGTGTGAGAGCAAGCACATGTGCTGTGTGCGGAACCGGCCCTGGGCTGGAGTGGTGCTGGTGCAATGGGACGCTCTCACTGTCTGCCGGCCCATGTGTTCCTAGGGGCACATGTGGCTTCCCTGTGGATGTGCCAGTCACGTCTGGTCATGGGTTTCTCCGTGTGCATGTGGTAGTGCTGGAGGAACAGCTAACTTCTAAATAGCTTTTCCAGACTTCCATCCGGACCCAAGACTCCAAGTGAAAATGATGTCGGAAGCATAAGTGAAATGTGCTACTGATATCTTAACTAGAAGGCATGGAAGAGCCAGAAAGTGGAAGGAAGAACCCATTATATACCTTTTCCTCCTTTGTTCTAGGTCTTAAAACAGTCTTCTCCTCATTTCCATCTCATCCCTTATCTGTCTAAGTGATTTATCTTTCACTCTGCCTGCGTGTCATCAAATTGAATGATTGCTTCTGTATTTCTGCCTCTAAAAGGTGTGTGTGGGGGGACTATGAGACCTGGAGGAGACTGGCAGAAAGGTCTAGACAGACGGCACAGGGAGCCAGTGCTCGTCCCGCCACGCTGAATCATCAGGTCGACTACGTGCCAGGCCCTGTGTTGTGATACAGCCCAGCTCTCCTCCACTGTCCTCAAGTGACAGGTTAACACTGGGACAGAGGAGATAAAAGATGAAATAACAGCTGGAATTATGAGCGACCATGAGACAAGTCAATGAGCTTATGTGAATTGTGAAACATAAGTTCCGTTTGTGCTATATTAAAGGATAATTTGCAAAGTAAGAGGAAAATACCTGTGATAACTATCTAATGGAGAGCTCCTAATAATGCCCAAATCAGACTTTGCCCCACTGCAAACATTTTAACTAATATCTGCTTTGACTGTTGACCTTGATACCTACAAATGAAAATGAAAGTTTTCAATGAAAATGAAAAGTTCTTTATTTTTACATTTTCATGGCTTTGGGTTAAGTAGAGGAGGTGGATTTGAGACCCAGTGCATGAGAGAGATAGAGAGAGACAGAGAGAGAGAAGATTGATTCAACATGCCTGAGAGATATTGAAGCATTTTAATTCTTCTGCTGAATGATAGCAATACAAGGGAGACAGTAGTGAGATGCTTCCTCCCAAATTAGAAAGAGAAGAAATGAAGTTTGCCATCTGTGGGAGTAAGGAAGCCTGGAGTCTGTCCCTACATGTGTTCCTGGAGTATTTGAGAACAGTAAGGTCACCTGGGTGTAATTTCAAGCAGGCAGTTTTAGAATGTGATTTTAATTTAGTAATTGGAACCCAATTGTATTGTGCTTTATATGGAGGAAGAGTTGGGGGCACAGAAGACAGTCAGGCTGGATAAATATTAATAGAAGCGGGAAGTACCTCCGGGCAGTCTAGAGACAGGGAAGTCAGAGACACAAAGGCCCCTCTCCTTTTCGGGTGTCGTGGGGCAACGATTCTGCACCCGCCCTACTGCCTCTAGCACCAATAGGAAATTTTGCTTAAGGTCATATATATTTTCTTTTATTTTTATTCTCTGCTTGCTAAGTAGCGGTTTCATTACAAACTGTTCAGGTAAGGAGAAAGTGATATCCTGAATGAGGAAGCATCATTATTCTAGGCCCTGGGAGGAATGTCTCCCGAGATGAGTGAAGAAGGAGCAGTCTAATTGGATTGATAAAACTTCAGTCTCCTGCACGTTGGGTTAGTTTGAGACAGGTTTCTCAGGACTGATGACAATAGAGAGATGCTGACAAGGGCCAGCCCCAGAGCTGTATGACCTGTGAGGCCTGTTAGTGGACAGGAAGCTGGCGTTCCCCTAGAGAGCTCTTTGCTGTGAATGACATTGCATGCTTAAATACTGCTGGGTCATCAGAATGGGATAAAGTGCATTGGTGCCTGCGTATTCCCAGCCCTTTTCCTTCCCTGACCCTGAAATAGACTCTAGCTTGGCTTTCTTCGGGCTATTTCTTTTTCCCATTCTACAACTATAGTCCTGATTTGCTTGAATAGTTTTGGAGATTTTGTGCTGGAATATTGAGAGGAAAAGTGGGGGAAGAGGAGGAGAGTTTGGGGGAAGGGGAAAGCAAGACGTATAAGGAGATCCAAACTGGATGAGTTTCGTAGGGATATTTAAGGTGATTAGCTGTGATGTGTGAGAGATGAATTGGAGAGAGAAATAGGTCGTAGTCTTAAAGGAATATCTGCCAACTGCATGAAATTTTAGGAAACACAAGTAAAAGATACTTGCTATTCTTAAATTACTGTGTTTGGATGCAATGCATTCTTTTAAATTCAGCACCTGTAAGGATCAAGACAACATGGAATATAGCTCTAGGGAGATTTTTCATACATTTTATTGCTTATTAGTCTATGGTTTTCCTGAGAAAAGTCTGCTTTTCTCCTTTGCAGCTTTTATGATCTGCTATTTTCATTTTTTATGTTTTAAAATTTTACAGTGATTTTCCTAAGTACAAGTCTTCTCTCATTTACATTTGGTAGGACCATCCATTTTGAATTTGCCCTTCAGTTTCGGCAAAATGTCTTGTTTTATTATTCTGATTATTACTCTGCTTTCTTTATTCTCTTCCCAAAACTCTTGCTTGTCAGATGTTGGATCTTCTGGATTCATCTTTTAAATCTTGTATCTTTTTTTCATGTTTTCCATTTCTCTTTGTTTTTATTTCAAGTTCCAAGAAGCAAACTGAATAATCTCTTTCTGTTTTTCTATTGAAATTTTATTTTGACAATTTGATTTTTCAAGCAGTCTGCTGTCTCTTGCATCATACGTCAATGAAACCAGAGGCCTTTTTACAACCCTGAACTTCTTTTCAAACTTCTCGTGTTCTGCATTTTCTTTTCAAACTCCTCCTGCTCTCTTGGCTTTCTCTCCAATTTTCAGTCCTATTTATCACCTTTGTTTTTGGCACAGGAAATCCCCAAATATTTTGTAAGCACTGTGAGACATCTCTAGATCCCACGGGGACTTGGCACCATGTGGATTTTTATAAGCACTGCTACTATCACATATATTTATTGTCAGCAGGTCATAGAATGAAAGAATCCCCTGTAATGTTACTACCTTTGACTTTTTTTGTTGTTGTTAAAGTGAGTCCTTTTATAAAATGAAGAACCTTATAAAAATCACCTCTCCTAACTTTTCTGTTGCTATGGAAACATATTTTTTTGAATCATGTTGGGTGAAGGGAGTGGGTGCCTTTATTATGTGAAGTAAAAACAGTAAAAAAAAAAAAAAAAAAGGAAAATTTCATGAATTTCATGGCCGCTTTTTTTCTGACCCTGGGTTAATAATGTATAGGTTACAGAGTAGGCAGTTCTCCACGTAGTTAACTCTGCCAGAGCAGTGATAGTGTCTGAGCCCAAGGTTGGGTGATTCGTTTCTATTCAAGGTTGGGTCAGAATAATTACAATAAAATTGACTCTATTAGCTGCCCTGCGAGAAAGGGGCCACATCTTGTGATGTAGACACATTGTATAAATGAGAAAATAGACTCAGGGAAGTGTTGCCAGAGTCGCACATTTAGTAAACATCATTGCCTTGTATGTTCCTGCCTCTCTATCTCCTCTCATATTCTTCATGCTTTCTGGAATAAACTTTCTCCTCTTTGCCATTTCAAAGCCAATAGCAGTAAGGCATGGTGTTTAAGAGCCTGGGCTTGACTTTTTGCCCCAGTCCTTAGTGACTTTGATCCAGTTAGTGACCTGCTCCATCACTGCTCCCTTGCAAAGTGATTGTGCCCATCCAGATCCACTCTCCACTCTCTCCACCTTGCTCTCTGTCCCTGCGGTCTGACCTCTGTGCAGTTTACCCACAAGCTCCCTTGACCTGGGGCTTTTGGCTAATAAGGAACCTCAGTGGGAAATCAGACCATGGAAAGACAATGAGGATGGGGCGTTTATTTCCCACTTTCTCCCTTGGACTTTTTTTAGGCTGGCTGCATCCTTCTACAGAGGAGGATCCTATAAGATGGTCTCAGCTCTCTTTCTGGCTTCTGG